TCTTGCTAAAGCCAGAAATATTTGTCTTTGTTTTCTTTCTTACTTTCAAAAGTAAAAATAAAAATTGTTATTAGCTATAAACATTTCCCATCATTCAATAGCACAGGTAGTCGATATTTAATTAAAAAAACAGAAAAATGTCACAATAAGATGTTTTTTGTACATCTATTACATCAAAGATGTATTTTCATCTGTTGAATTTTAACAATTACAATAACTTGATAGTAATGTTTAGAATAGCAAAAGTTAAAATAATTAAATTTTGCTGATCCATGATTTTAATGGAGAACAGTTACAAATTTCAAGTAATATATTATTTCTATTCCATCGATTATAATTTTAAACATTTCATGTTTTAGTAAGCATCATTGTTTTATTTTTTCACACTGTGTCCAGCAAGCAAAGGGTTAGAGAAAATATGGGGTTGGTTATTAAACAACATGAACTAGAATGAAAATCCACCATCCACACTCGCTATCCCCTGTACATATTTCAGAGTTTGCATGTAGTTCTGCCTAATTCAACAAAATGTTTCCTATCCTTTCCTTGTGGCTAAGTTAGAAGGCTAAAATATCTGTCTAGCAATCAAGTAACAGTGAAATCATGTAATCAGCAATCTTTCTAAAACCAACAGGTTTTATTCAGCACAAATATGAGCAGTAGCTGTAGTACTTTTTACCTCTGGATCTAGGGAGACCCCCGTCTATCTTCTTCCAAGAAAGCAAAATCAGGATAAATGAGACACTTAGCATTACCAGAAAAAAAAAAGAGAACAAAGATGGTTTTGTGGCCATACATCTTTGCTGCTAAGAGGCAGACCACCTCACCAGGGCGCGTGTATACCTGCATCTCAAATGCAATGCAAGGTGCTACATGAAGTAAAAGAACACTATGAAAATGTTTTATATTTGGAAAGAAATCTCATTTTTCTTTAATATGCAATGGCCTACACTTGTATTTCTCAAAAATTAACAAGCATCATTTTACTTGTGTATAAAGAGAAATAAGAATGAACAAAACAGCAATTCATGTATTACACCTCCAACTCCCATCTTTCCAGATTTCCCATTTCTTGAAGTTCAGTGGATTTAAATACAGGAGGCTCCTTAGCAAGGTACTCTCTTTTTTAAAAAATTAATTGCTGTTATATACAGAGAAGTTACAGTTACATAAGTGCAGTAATGAGTACATTTCTTTTTGGACACTGTCCTCTCTTCCCTCACTCTCTCCCAAGAACTACCAAGAACTCACTGGATGTCAGTGTTAGCATAGGTAAAAGTGAAAGTAGTAACAATGGTGATGATGAGGGTGATGGTGGTAATCCTGAAAGCTAAAGTTTCAAGTTAGATAAGGTAATATCAGAGCTGAGGATACAGAAGGCACTTAATAAATGCAGGTTCCCTTTCTTCTTAAATGTCTATACCTGGAAGGAGATTGAAGTTTCTTGTCTTCTACAAATGCAACTATTTGGGAAATAAGAGATATTCGGACATATTAGGGGGGAAAGAAACACTTAATTAAAAAAAAAAAAAACAGTTCATATCCTAAAGAAGTCACTATGGAATGCTGATACAAGAACCCAGCAATCAACCAAGAACTGACTAAAGTGAAATCTTGGGATACAATAAAATAAATGGAGCAATGAAATATTGGGCCTACTTTCAATTTGGACATTTTTTTCCCACTTAACTGCAAATGTCTTAAGACAATGGGTTGAAAACATCTTGAATGTTTTTGTGTGTCAACCAACTTACTTTGAATTATTTAGATGAAGTAAACCAATGGATATTTTCTTCTTTATAACTTAACTAAAGCACCCAATTAATTAGAAATAAGATTGGGCCCCAGTGACTCAATCCTAGCTAGGCAGGAAGCTGGAATCTGAGGATAATAGTTCAAAGCCGGCCTTGACAGGAAAGTCCTCTGAGACTTTCACAAGGTAGAGATTACTCCAAGGTAATCTCCAATTAACTACCAAAAGGCTATAAGTAGAGAGGTGGTTCAAGTGGTAAAGATCCAGCTTTGAGTGAAAAAGCTAAGGGACAGCGCCTAGGCTCCCATTCCAAGTCCCAGTACTGGTGCGTGCACACGCGCACACACACGCACACACACACACACACACACAGAAATAAAAATTAATTTGTGAGAAAAATACAATTTAAATTCTCAAGGATGATTAAAAGCAATTTACAGAAAGAAATGTGTCAATCACTGTAACTTGCAAAGATATTACAATATAATCTCCCCCTCAGATACAAGTGATAAGAATGTCTCTGCCATGGTTAATGTTGTTGTTGTTGTTACTACTGGTGTGTGCATCTGTTGACCTGGATTTATCAGAATACCCATTTCAGTCACCTACTTATCCTTAGCTTCTCAAATGTGATATTTATTACAAACATCCATGATCTTTACAGCTTGTGAAACTGCCTTTCACATTCTCTACAAAGCAAAAAACTCACACTCTGTCATAATCTTGGAAAATAAAGTTACCAATATTGGTGAATCAACTTAGAAATCATTTTATGCAAACTCTTAATTTTTACAAACAAGGAAACTGACTTCTGTGGGGAAATGAAGCAAAGGTTCAGAGAGAGAGAGAGAGAGAGATTCAGGAGTGGGAGGGGAAAATACCAAAAGATTAACCAAAGAATTCATATGGAAACATGGTAGAAGAAAATAACTGTGTTCCCAAGTACTATTTCAAGCCCTCAAAGGCATGTATATCTATAAGGTTTAAGTTACATAAAAAACTTCCAAAGCATCCATGGAGGAGCAGACCTGGAAATCTGCTCACCTCCCTCAATCCTCCTGAAAACTCTCAGGTCTCAAGTCATCACATCTTGGAAGTTTGACTCCATTTGAACACAACAGAATCCCAATTAACTGAAATGAACCAATTGCCTGATACAAAGTTCCTTGTTATTTCTATTTTCCACAGTGTCTCTTCTTAATTGTCCCGACGAACCCCAACAGGCAGTATCAAAAAGAAGCATCAGTCTGCAAAGCTAACCCACGTTAACTAAGCACACCTAATGTGACAAAACTTAAGAGGTCTCCCAGCCCAACTTCTAATTCATTCCTGAATGTTTGCATCTTCCCACCTCAGTTTTGTTACAACCTCAGAGGTTCTAATTCCTAACTTCTTAGGATAGGTAACATGGCCAAGCTTATATGGTATCACTCCTAGCCTACATGATAGATAAGGGGAATCATTTATAAGACGATCTCTTTTGTACTTCCACTAGAATGTGGAATGAAAGTCTGGCTAAGAAAGCCATGCTGAAGACCACAGGTTAGATATTTTCCCAGTAGAAAAATATTGGTTTACATAACAGGCCAGACAGTCATATAAGTTGTAACAGGTAACAAACTCAACTCCAAATAAAAGTCAAAGTGACTAATGTTAATAATAAGTACAAACAAACCAAAGAATTGGGAATTCAGTTAATGATATATATTCAGGTAATTTAAAGAATCCTCTTTTATTTCAGATGATAGTACTTAAAATACTATTTGTTTTGGTTCCTGTGGGGCCTTGGAATATATAACTCTCTGAAAGGATCTCAAGATAATATGAAAACTCTCACTCTCCATATATATATATATATATATATATATATATATATATCCTGGAAAAAATCTGTTTCCTCAAAATTGTTCTTGCAATTTAGATTCTAAAATACACAACTTGAAATCCATTTATATCTGTAGTTTCTCTCTCTATAATTTCCAAGTTGAAAATCAGTTTTCAAATGACTATGAATATACCCTCAAAAGCCAAAGGGCAGTTTTTAAATTACAAATTTGTAAGCATTACACAGGTTTAATGAGTTAAGTTAGTTAATGATTTATAGTGAAACTCTAGAAAGAGAAAGTAAAAAAAAAAACCTCAACTTTGGTTGATCTAGTTTTAACACCTCTTAATTTTATGTATTGTTTTATGAGCCCCAAGAAGCTAGGTAGGCATCTTCTGTCGGTGATGCAGGAGATAAGGTTTGGTTTGACTTGCATGCACAGAAAATGCAGGTGGGAAATATTTTCTGCAACAGCAGACAATATGCCTTTTTTTCTTTAATGTTGCGATCTAGAAGCCACGTGAGAACTTTGGGGAGCATAAAATTAGTCTGTTTTAAGTTTATTAATGAAATAGTAGATGAAAGAACACCAATTCCGTGTCTACAGGAATTAGCAGCACAGAGGTTACAAAACGTAACCCCTTCCCCTTCAATGGGCAAGCGACGAATAAAACCCATGCAATTATAACCCACAACTAATAGGTCACATTTACTTTGAAAGCATGCATTTACAAGTATAGAGTGTGCTTTATTTTTAATTCCCATGTTTTTAAACACAGCAAAATTGCAGAGACCAAAATTTAATCCTGAGGTGAATTGGTACATATTTACCTTCATAATTGACCCCAGTGGGTCAAATGATGGCAAGGTAAACTGACCTAATCCACCCAGGTCGATTTTTTCTTTATTTTTAAATGTCTGTCAGAATTGGGAGCCTAAATGTTTCTCAGCAGAGCCTGGAATGGATTCTGTGCAGGTGAAGAAATCCACGCGCGCCAGCTGGGTAAGGAAGAAACCTAACTTTCTCAAATAAGTTCAGTCTTGTCGACCTAAATCCAACAGGTGTCAACACACGTCGCCCACCCTCCCCCAGGGAAAAAAAAACCTCCTCTGAACACTGCCTAGAGAAACACCAGATAATTCATGGAGAAACTAAAACGACCACTATCAGAATTATGAAATAAAGCAAGCCGGGTCTCCATCCCAACTGATCTCTTCGCCCCTTGCCTGCGCACGGCGGGGGGGGGGGGCCCCCCCCGGGGGGGGGGGGGGGGTGGGGGGGGGGGGGGGGGGGGGGGGGGGGAGACGCGGGGAGCCGGCGCTCCGCCGTTCCCACCAGGGGCTTTGGGCTTGAGCTCTCGGTGCCCACAGCTAGACCCTCGGCCGGAGGCGGGGCGCCTGGGCGGGGAGGGCGCGCGGTACCTGCTTGTCCAGCGCGTCCCGGCCGCCTCCGGGGCCGGCACCGGTCCTGGGTGGCGCGGGCGTCCGTTCGCAGCTGCAGCCTTCCAGGAGATACATGCCCGCCGGGCGGCCGCTCTGCTCGCCCTCGAAGTAGAAGAGCACATTTTGGTAAAGAGCGAACCACTTCTCGTGCCAGCGGCTCGCCTCGGCCGCCTTTTTGCTTAGGAAGCCGCGCTTGGTGCCTTCCTTGCGCGCCAGGAAGGCCAGGTACAGGGCGTGCCCCTCGTTGTAACGCACGCTCTTCTGCATGGTGAGGGCGCCGGGGGCGCTCGGGCGGCCTCCCGCCTCACCTCGGCCCCGCTGTCATCGCCCGGCCGGCTCTCCCACTCGAGGGCGCGCCTGGCCGCGGGCGCCCTCTTCCCCGAGTCAGTGCGCCGGGCACCCTGCCTGCCTCCCGGGCGCGGCGATGCGGGGGTCCGAAGGGCGCTCAGCACCTTCTCCGTCCCGACCGCGCCCTCCCGTGCGAAAGGAGGCCGGGACGCCGCGTGGAGAGCGGCCTCCCCCGCGCCCCACCGAGGGCGCCCGAGCCCGCCCCAGCTGCGCCCAAACTTAGAGAAGCCGAGCCCGCGACGGGCGGGCTGGGGTGCGCGACGCGCGGCAGCCGGAGGAGGACTGTCCTCGGGCAACGCGCTCCCGGAGACAGAAGGTAAAACGTCACGTGGGAGATCAGCCGTAATCGGCTTGCGGACCGATTTAAAGGGCAAAGTCGCCGCAGCAGCCTCGAGACAGCGCAGCCCGCTCAGCCCGCTCAGCCCGTTCAGCCCAGAGCTAGTCCCTCCCTGGCCCGGCCGGCCCGGCGGCCTCTGCCCCTGCGCCGCCAGGGATGGGGCCCTATCTCGGGGAGGTGGAGGCGCTGGGCACCACACACCCGCTCACACGCACCAGGCGGTCACGCACACACACAGGCAATTACAAATCCACAATGCACACGTTTTGCACAAATCCAGAACCCATAACTCAAACACAAAAATAATCCACACAATGTGGACATTCTAGGCAAATGACTGTGCGTACTCACAACACATTTTCACAAATGCACATTCACACAGTGCGCACACTCATAGCAGCATTACAGCCACGTGTAACACATCCATATATACACAAATACAGATAGATGCACAACTATATTCACTGTGTGTTTCTCACAAAAATGTAAATTCACAACTATCACACGTGTTCGCCGAGATGCTCACACAGTCACATAACATACATTTACAATCATGCCCACATTTATACACAAGAAACACGAAAATATATACCTATACCCAACATAAATGCACATATACACCGGTAGAGAGTCACACAAGCACATGATCCCAAGTACACGCACATTCACAAATGTATACATTCACCCTCAAAACACTCATACACAAACAAACACACAAAAAGTTTACTCACATGCCCACATTTCACAAACCTACTAACATGCAGGACAGTAGCTAGAGTCCCAGTATGGATTTGCATAAACCACAGTGTTGACTTTTCTGCTTGTACCTGCATGGTAGTATTTAAAGCAGGAGGCAAAAGGTAAAGAGAGAAGCCCCAGTATTCCCAGAAAGTCATCGGTTCTTTTTGGGCACCTGTCTTTCACAGGATTAAGATAACAGAAACAAAACTTTTTAAAACTTTTTGTGCGGAATTGTTAAACTGATACCCAAACCATCAAAACTACACAGAACCCAAGGCAGAGGCCAAGCTATCACAGGTTTACCAGAATCCCTTGCTAGGACAGGAATTCATTTGATTAACAAATCACGCAGCCACAGCTACAGAACCATCATCCCACTCCCCCCAGCCTGCTATAAAATCTAAGTGGAAAAGAAATGGTGAGTGAGAAGGTGAATTTGATCAGGGGTATGTTGTATGCATGAGTGAAAGCATCACAAGGAAACCCCTTTGTACAAATAACATGTTCTAATAAAAATGTTCTCTTTAATTAAAAGGAAATAATGTATAAGAAATTTCACGAGAAAGCTAGTGAAATTCCAGAAGTGTCAATGTTTGATTCTCCTATACATTCTTTATTCTTGGTCACTTATTAAAATGGTTTGCCAAAAACTGTTTATCTTAAAAAATAAGAACTAAAAAAATGCTTTTCCAGGCTGTAACTTGGTGACATTATACCTGTCTGGTCCTGCCACTTGTGTGCTCAGCAATTGCTCAGCAATTGGTCACTGCAGGGTTCATCTGGTTTTCTGTACAGCTGCCTTTGCTAAGTATTCTAACTCTGCTCCACTGAGCAGCTGAGTGGTTTTTGCATTTTGTCCATCAAGAAAAACTTCCCCTATTAAACATTGTGTAATAGGAAAATTGCCATTTTGAAATGGCTGAGAGAACAGTGGTCATTCTCTTTACATATTTTTACATATCTAAGGGGTAGTGCAGTGCCCAGGTGTTTAACCTGGCTAAGAACTTGTATTGTTCTTTAGAGGAGAAAGCAGTAGAGAGAAGATAAATGAAGTGCAGAAGAGATTTTGAGCCAGATTCTGGATATGGGAAGATGGTGGTTTTCACAGGGGCCTTTTCTTTCTTCTCTGTAGTTCTGGTGCAAGTAGAGACATCAAGTGTAGCTAGTGAGTTCTGTTTTCAAGGCCAGCCATTAAGGATGTGAAATCAGTACAAACAATTTTACAGTTCATATGCAGACCTTCTAACCCACTGGAGTTTATTTTTCCAGATGTGAAAGAATATTTCTCTCACTAAGCAATATCTCCACTGCTAAGTATAACCTCACATACCTGTTCCATCTGTCTAAAGGTCCATCTGAACCTCATGGAGTATTAGTCTCAACTTCTTGTCTGACATTGCTTCCTACAGTGTAAGGTAAAATGGTTCTCATATGCCCTCGATCAGTGAAAGAGGAAAAAACAACTGTAGCCTCCAGAATTTGGCTGGTGACTCTAGTGGATTTTAACTATCAAAATTCACTACAACACCTGTTTATTGATCATAAGTTTATAACCTAAATGCGGTACTGAGGTGATGTGCACAAGACATGGTTCACAATCCTGGCATGCTCAGAAGCGGCTAGGAGGACAGATTCATGGTTAGAAGATTCTTCTGAACTGCTTTCCGGGGGAAGGCCGTGTTGTAATCCTTGCAGGATACCAGAGGGAGAGCCTGTATGCATACACAAGTGATTCATAAATATTTTCTAAAATTAGCGATTAATATTTGGTCATTGACTTGTTAAGAAGAGCACCAACATGCAAATTTAGACCATTCTCTAAGATTTTTAAAAGTGAAAATCAGAAATCTATGGGCAGTCTAAACAAACTATACCCAGTCAGTGTCTGACAGATGTGGTGGGTCTGGTGCGCCTTCATTCACATGGAGACTGCACCCATGGAACACTGCCACGAAGCACAAAGGGCCAGGAGGCTATGGAAATGAGGATACTCCCCTTCCCCCAGCTGATCAAACAGGTCACCCAAAGGACTCTGTTCCAAATAGGTGGGAACAAGCACTTCTGTGGATTCATTATTGTTGTCGCTTGCATTTTGTGGATCCGATTCTGAGAGGGCCTGTTTAAAGGCATTAGGGGGGAAGCATATCGTTTTTCACTAATAATAGTAAAAGTGTCCTCCTTTCCCATTCTAGACAAGAGGAAAACATGGCAGTAGGTGGTCATATCTGAAAAACACTACCTATAGCCGGAGTCAATTCAGACAATTTAAAGAAGAATAAAGACAAGGAGACAAAGGAAAAGGGAGAGGGAAGAGGAGAAGGAGAGAGAGGCAGGAAAAAGAGAGAAGGAAGAAGGGGAAAAGGAAAGAGACATTTTATCTGAGTTTGTCCAAAGCTTTTAAAGTTGAGGTGGGAAGTGTACAACCTAATCTGCAGCTTTTCAAAATCCCCAACTCAATCATTATCTTTCAGACACAGAAGGGAGGTTTAAATTTGTTTCCTTTCCCTAGATGCTGGCTCGTTTGTAGAAATTTGAATGAACTGAATTACTTTCTCCAATAATCTTTTTTCTATGGTTGCTGTAGTTCAAACATTCCCCAGGACTGGGTTCTGGGAAAGATAAAGATAAATATCCCTTCTGCTCTTTAGAATAAAACGACAAGGACAAATAAAGTGGAGAAAAGACACATTTATGAGATACACGTAGAAATTACAGAGTATATTTAACCACTAATCCAAACAGTTCAGAATTTTATATACTGTACCTCCTTTCCTATAGAATGGAGAAAATGGGAAAGGGGACAATTTTCAGGAGCCTAAATGATCTAAATGATTATTGGCATTTGAATGCACCCAAGAAGCAGACTGTATCTTGGAAATGAAGTCTGGGCAGGTGTGGTTACAGTCCTCAGTCTTCTGTTCCAAGAGAGAGAAGATATCAGCATGAGGATGGAGGAGCAGTCTGGTTTTAATGCAGATAACAGCTTCTTCCTGCTTTTGGAGAAAAGAATAAGACAAGTTTAGAAAGATCTTTATTTTGAGCTGCTTGTAAGACCTTTTTAGCTCCTTTAGATCAGATACTTCAATATGCAAACAAAATGCCCTATTGGGGATTTCATTCATCTCATTTAGATCAAGATACCTTTTCTTGGCTTGACAGATCAAATGGTCAAGTTGATGGCTGATAAGGAAATGGATTTTCTTTGGGGGGGGGTGTCCAGTCGTGGGGCCTGAACTCTGGGCCTGGGCACTGTCCCTCAGCTCTTCAGCGCAAGGCTAGCGCTCTACCACTTGAGCCACAGTGCCACTTCTGGCATTTTTTTCTTTTTGCTTATGTGGTGCTGAGGAATCGAACCCAGGGCCTCATGCATGCAAGGCAAGCACTCTACCACTGAGCCATCTTCCCAGCCCAGAAATGGATTATTTTTTTCATCATTCAGCCTCCCTTAGAATCTCAGATAATTGCTAAAGGATACAGTGTTGCTAGCTCCAAAAGATAACTGCTTTTGTATCCTCTCTTGATAATTAGTAAAGCCAGGGTCTTCCTAGTGTGCTTTTAACTAAACAGAACTTCTTATTTACCAAAGATGAGATGCAAAATACTTACCCTGAATTACTTAGAATTAATAAAATCATTTGTCTGTCTTTGTGATGTGTCAACTAACTGTAATATTCTGGATAGTAAATGTTTGTTTTTCAAACATTAAAAATGAGATGCACCTCTACTGCAAAGTGTGGATTTTTTTTCATTTGCTTAATAAAAGTCACTATTGTAAACACAAACTATCCAGTAGCTAGACCAGAGCTGTTGTTAAACTGTACTTTTTTATGCAAAATAAAAG